ACCAGCTGCGATGACCAAGAAGCAAAAAGGCCCTCAAACACACATCCATCCAGAGAATATCTTACTGTTCTCTAGAATTCCACTCAGGACTATTCACGAGAGAGCAGCCATAAAAGAACACTTTCCAGCATGCCCACATTAAAATGTAGCCCTAGGAGAGCTGAAGTCTAGGGGAGCTTGCAGTCTTCCCCATTCCTAGTTGAATCATTTGATGTAAATAAGGTACAGAATCCAAAACTGCTGAAACTTGCAAATATTTTAATTCAGCAAGCAAAACTGTACAGGTATTTTGGAAAGTTCTTTGCAAATCATTTGTGGGGGCGGGGTTATGGTATAACTACCATATTAGGAGAGAAAGATAGAAACCCCATAGTTGCTTTTGTAATGCTCACATTTTGAGATGCCATGAGTAACTTCAGCTCCTAGTTGTATCCACAGTTCTATATACTCTCAAAGGACTATGGCATAATGTTTGCCTGGACACTTATGAATGGACAGCCAGTCCATGGCAACGGACCAAAAAAAAAAAAAAACTTACACGACTCTTGCAACTTAATACACCATAGCACACAGCATGTGCGTTGTGGTGCCCTACATTGTGGATGCATTGCCCACTACTCATACCTCTTTCTAAATAACTGGCATCCCAATGCACCGCAAACAGTACTGTGCATTACATATAGTAAAATGCACTTTTTACCACGTGGCACAAATCTAAATGGGACCTTAAGGTCTCCTTCAAGACATTCTCTATATTACCTCCCTGATGTAGAAAGACTGCTAGTAAAAGACCACAGATACTGAAAGCAATCCTCACTCACCATTTTAATTCAGACTTAGACTGTGTATAAATACACCCCTTAACGGTAACTTAAAAAAACATTAAAAAAAATGGGACTGCTGAAAGCTGAACCCTAGGGACAATGAGCATATGTTATAGCAGTTGAAGCCTCTGACTACTCAAAAGCCACCATAAACAAACATGCAGATTCTGACATGCCTGTTCTGCATACAATAGTAGTAAATCCAGAGGGTCGGTATGACAACCAGCAAACAGCAGTTTCAGAAGATGGTCAATATTGGTGACCCCAGTGATTTCTTCTAAAGAATGTGGATTTAAGAGATCTTCACTTTTAATTGAAGGCAAATTTGCACAGGTTAAGGAAAAAAACCAAACATATGCATAGTTATACCTAAAAATAAGGACTTACGTTGGGTATCCTCGAACACCATTATCAGAACATATAGCGCTGTCCACAGTACAATCCACCTTGGCAACATAAACTGGAGTCTTTTCCATATTATTATATTTATCACCCAAATCATTCCATGTTTGCTGAAGACGTTGACAATGTCCACACCTTAAAGAAAATAAATGAATCGGAAAGCGGCATTAGCTGCTGAGACTTATAACTTCTAGTAATCAAATAAATGCCAAACTCTGCATCAGAAAATTAATGCGCATGTCTGAAGTCTTTCTGGTGTGTTCACCGCATGGGCCATATGAAAGGAGCACCCCCAAAACGAACGCAGAATGTGCAAGCCTAAAGCTGGCCATACACCTTACAACCATTGCACGACTTTAGTCAAGGGGAGGGCTTGCCGATGATTGCAATGCTGAGCGGGTAGTGTGCGCTTGCGCACACAGGCCCATGCGGTTTTCATCTTCTGAGCACGCTACCAACCCGCCGAAAATCGTATGATTTTCGGCAGGTTTTCCCGCGTGCTAGGAAGACGAAAGTCGTGCGACCGTACAGTGGATGTGGTCGCACGCTGCCCATACACCTGCCGATCATACGATCGCGGGAACACCAGCGATTATCGTACGATAATCAGCAGGTGTATCTGCACCTTCTGGCACATGAACCTGACCTTAGGAAGGCCATACACAGTGAGCAGCTATTCAGGGTTTTGAAATGCCGGTAACCACTGAGTCAGCGGTTAGCGTTCATTAATGGATGCCTCAATATTGACGCATCCATTAAATAGTTAGCTTCTTTCTTGGACTGGTGAAAAAAAAATACAAATACCGGTGATCCGGCATTTAAGAGCTGAAATAGCAGAAGCTGGACATGAGGCCAGTATTTTACTTTTGACAGCTCCATAGACATCACAAGTCCCAACGTTTAGGCCTTGTTCACACCAAATGCAGAGAAGATCTGCATGAGTTTCTGCACACGCAGTGCAGTGGGTTGTGCCGCGTTTTTGATGTGTTCCGGGCCGTTTTTGGTTAAAAAAAAAAATTAGTATTTTTAGTTTAAAATGGGCTTTCAGTGCGTTCCAGAACAGGTAAAATAGGGCCTGCTGCAGTTTTACCTGCTCTGGAACTGAAGCTAAAAATACCATTGGAATACATTGGACGCAGTTTTGCTCCGGTCTGTAACTGCTCTGCGCTTGGTGTGAACAAGGCCTTACAGGCTTTGTAAAGATACATTCTTCACGAAACTGTACATTTCAGCAATAAGAAACAAATGATTCCTTTTGCTGAAATGTATCAAACTTCTGATCGTCTGAGGACCAATCAGAAGCCTAGTGAGATATAATCCTGTCAGGATCAGTGTCACTAAGGTTATTATTGGCTGTTCCCTAAGTTTGGAGCAGCCCAATAATGACCAAAAGTTGGAAGAAAAAAAAAAAATACAGCCACTTAGCATTTTTAGGAAGAGGTCATTAATGCCATTCTCCAGGGTGTTCTTAACACAGAGCTCCATTAGGATTACTGTGGGACCACTGGTGTGTGCAGTGAAGGAAGCCATGCACTGGTTTCAGCACATCACACTTAAAAAAAAAAAATAACCATTTTGTTTGAACTATTAAAGTGCCACAGAGAGCCATTTCATTAATTTCCATTTACCTCAGCATGTTGCAATGTTGTGTACTGTAATGCAACACACTGGTAAAATAAAAAACTACTGCATATCATACTTTACAGTGCACATCTCCACAACATAGTGGTGTAAACAGACTTACAGTAACTAGGGATGCTCCAATAACATTTTTTCAGTATCGCCAATACCAAAAGTCCCATTAAGGAAGCTGGGTGGCGTGTCTCGCTGCCTGGCTTCCCAACTGGCCAGCTTCCCAACCAATCAGGAAGCCGGGCGGCGAGTCATTACATGGCAAGAAAGCCAGCTCCATGCTTCCACGTCACCTGGTAACGAGGGAGGAATGAGACCGTTTCCCAGCTATTTGTCTGGGAAGCCGGCTCCATGCTACCTCATCTCCAGGTGACGAGGAAGCATGGAGCAGGCTTTCTGACCAACCAGGAAGCCAGGGGGCAGGTAATGGCTTGCTTCCCTGGCTTTCTGATAGGCCAGCTTCCCGAACAATCAGAAAGCTGGGCGGCAAAACATTGAAGCCGTCGCCGCCCCCTCCCCTTTCCTGATGGGAGCATGGAGCTGGCTTCTCGGCCTATTAGGAAGTTGGGCCGCGTGTAATGACTCACCGCCCAGCTTCCGAGTACTCACCCAAATACTTGGTATTGGCACAATCAATGCATCCCTAAAAGTAAAAATGCAAATTGCATTGTCTACATGTTAAGAGTGCACTGCTAAGCACAGTTCATTTCATCTGGTGTGAACAAGCCAATAAAGCAGACCTTGGCCCCCTTTCAACCAAAAGCAAACTTTTTTTGCTGTTGCTTACAATTCGTGTTTTTCAACTTCCTGGTTGAGTGAGGCACTGGTGATATAGCCCTGGCCCCATTAGATGCATTCTGGGAAGGTTATATCACCAGTGCCTTCCTGGAAAATCTCATCTGCAAAATCTCATGAGATCTCAGGGGAAAGGCATTTTCCTAAGCATATTATGAGCACTTTCACGTTTCAGGAGGCAGACCCAGAGTTCCACCCTTCGTGAAAATGGCCACTGAGAAGAATGGGGAGGAAAAGAAAAATAAGGTATGCATAGAATGAGAGCCTGCAATTATCTAGAAGTAACTGATTGTAGAATGCCATTACTAAACATTTCTAAAGGGGCCTTTGTCATTTTTAAGATAAGGGTGACATTCCTCTTTAAGGAAACCACACTATGTACAGCAGTTGTACTGCTCTGAAGGAGGATGTTTAACTATAAGGCGTATAACAAAAACAGTTATTAGTTTTGTTTAAAAAAAACATGATCGCCATTCCTCTTCACCACAGTCTGATAATGCATTTGATTTCATGCCTAACTAGAGCAGTCATAGGAAAGAGGTCATCAGAAGAAGCCAAGATAAGCAGTTTCTCCCTCCCTCTTTAAAAGAGCACCAGCAGGTGGAGCGGCTCATGAAAACCCAAATTCTTAGGCCTTGTTCACACCAAGCGTGGAGCAGGTGCAGAGCAGTTACAGACCGGAGCAAAACTGCGTCCAATCTATTCCAATGGTATTTTTAGCTCCAGTTTGCATCGCAGCGTTCAGTTCCAGAGCACATCAAAAACGCACGCAAACGCACTTGAATGCACTGAAAGCCCATTTTAAACTAAAAATAAAAAAACTAATTTTTAACCAAGAACGGCCCGGAACGCATCAAAAACGCGGCAAAACCCACTGCACTGTGTGTGCAGAAACCTGAGCGGATCTGCTCTGCATTTGGTGTGAACAAGGCCTTAGAATCTGTCTTGGACGTTCCCAGCCCAGAGTACAAGAAATGACAGGCAGAACATTTTAGATTTCCCACTTTCCAGATCAATAACCAAAAGCCGCAAGGAGAAGAAAACCCAGGTATGGAAGCTGTGTATAAAACTGAGATGATTCACAGCTGTTAAAGCAGGCATTAAAAGAGAACTACGGGGTAAGTGTTTTTCCCCATAGTCTCTTTAGGGTCACAGGAGGACATATACGAACCTCCTCACGTGACTCAAAGCTCAGTATATAGTGAGCTATTGCCTGCGATATACTGAGAATGCCACAGCCGGAACGGATGCCGACAATACTGTCTGGATCCACCCAGCTGCGTGAGTGACAGTTGGCTCTCCCTATTTCGAGGCAGCCAGCTATGCTTACCCCTCCCAGTCCCTTCTTCCAGTCAGCGCTGGAGGATCGGAGAGGGGATGGGGAAATCCCTGCGGGGAGCAGCGACTGTCAGTCACCGCTCACTGCAGGGATACAAAAATCGGGAAGTGAGCGGATCGGTGGATGTTTCTGCTCACTTCCTGATCGATAGAGCCAATCTGTGACAGCTTCTTTGTCACAGGTCGGCTCTCACTATGAGGATGAGCGAAAAATCACTCACCTCATGGTTCTCCTTTAAGTGTTATGTATGAGAAGTGCTGACAAACAGGTTTATTATGACAGAAGGGACTGTGCAAGTCTCCTGTTATAGATTCTCCTATCTACCTGGCAAACATTTGTTTCTGTGCACTAAAGTGCGCATGCGCAGACTCAGCAGAAATACCTGGCGAGGCAAAGTGGTTCGTGTGCATGCATCATCCGGGCCCGGCCAAAAGCAGCAGAAGACCAAGACTGAAATACAGCACTGGAAGCGATCGCTGTGGCATGCATGCAAACATGCTGCGCATACTAACATTATGGCTAAGAGCTCCAGTGGGCTCTTTTTTTCTCCAGGGAGACTACTTCCTTTTTAAAAGGTTATTTTAGATTAGCAAGTGATTAACCCAGATTTAGACTCCAGTCACATCTATATTTTAGGTGCATTTAGGAATCCCTGTGGCAGGAACCCCAAATCTGCCATTTACAAGCGGCAGCTGTCACCCATTGGCACAGGAACAGACCACTATCCCTGGATGCGCCATCAAGGCATAGTGATTGGAATCCCTAAACTATAGGTGTGAATGGGGCCTTATAGTTGGTGATTTCATGGCTAGAGTCGCTACCAATTCACTGTAGCCAAGCTCACAGAGGTGAATGAAGAACGGTTGTCACTGGTGATCTAGTCACCGACATGAAACATTGCTAGAACTCAATTTCTAAAATGACAAGAGCTGCAAAAAAAAAAAAAAATTAGCAAGTTAACAATTCTATTGAAAACAATCATGATTTGCATGGCTAAAAAGTTACATGCTTTGTGATCGATCTCACTACAAAAGGATCACAAACAAGCGTTTCAACATTAATGGCAAATGATACATCACAAATGGTATTGATGGAAAATACAATTATAAAATGATATGATGAATCTGTATCATGACTTGTTGTCTTGATGCATACAATTCTGCCATGTCTGATCCACTTCCCAGTGTCAGAATCGATTGAAAAACTCACTAAATTGATCGGATGGAGGCTTTGTGGTTTACATGCATGATCGTATCAATCGCACTGAATGATCAGATCAATATGTGTGTAGCCACATTAAGAAATCGTGGGCTGTAAAACAAAAGAAACTAACAAAAGGCCTACTCCTACATAGTGTGAAATCTTTCTAGCTTGCTATACCCCATACTGAATGTAAGAACGGGCCTTTTTGTCAGATACAGATCACCCCAACTTACACTACACTGACAAGACAAACTGGCAGAAGCAGTGGAGATGGAACTTCTGAACAGTCTATTGCCAAGAGTGTGAACATTCCCAGCCTGGCTAGTACAGCCCCTCAGAACACGTAAGCTGATGCCAGGAATCCTAAGCCACGTCAGCAGTCCCACACACCCACTTAACTCTAAGAGAAGGCCAAGAAAGAGCCTGGCCTATGATTGCAATGTGAAGGCCTGGTGTCAGATCATGCAGCAGGACACACACACACACGATAGAGATATCTCCAGGTAACCCTTTCCTTCCCCACCCACCCCAAAATAAACAAACATTCTGTCCCCCAGAGAAGCCATGGACATCAGACACGTCATGGTCAATAGTTAGGTAACAGTAATGAAGGGGAGCCAAGCAGGCCGTAGCTGATCAAAGAAGGGTCACGATCTAGGTTCATGTTTACAAGGTGCTATCAAACAGAAAGCAGTGGCACAAGCTAGGTTCACTTCGTTGTGCTGCGATAACGCATGCACATTTTACACCCATGTTAGTATCCATTGCGTTAGCCATTCAATTGAATGGTCTGACTACTGCACCAAAATGGTTGTGTGCACTTCTGTTAGCAATGCACCACAACACATGGTAGTGTGTTACAATGTATTGTGCTGTAACACACATACGTTGGGTACCATTAAGGGCTTATTCACGCTGCCGCAGAGTTCCATGCAGATGTGGCCTGTGAAAAATCAGTGACAGTAGGGATCTTCCTGTACATGTATGGCCCTGGATACAGACTGAATGGCACTGTAGAATGAATGTGCACACACGTTTTCTGGTACATACACATTGCAGTGTACACATTCCTACATGAACAGCAGATTACACATAGGCCCTGAGTGCTGACAGCAATGACAGACTACACAGGACTACTATGCGCTCTTCTTCCCTCATCAGTCCATATTGAGGACGGTTCCCTGTCTATCAGTGTTCTGTAGTAGTTCCATACATTGCCAGGCCTCCCCTCCCCCAGCCGTCCTTACCATGGAGCGAAGAACATTATAAAGTGCGGGGCCTCCTTGACGGCATGGCTGAACATTTCAGCCGAATAGAGGTGCTTGCTGTGCGGGTCTTCCTCCTCTGCCGGCTCCCCGGACACACCAACCAGCAGCACCCAGAGCAGAAGAGCAGAGCGGCGGCCTCGCAACATCTTCCCGGCCTGGTGTAGTGAGGAGAGGAGAGGAGAAGAGAAGAGAAGAGAAGAAGGAGGGGGAGGAGGAGGGAAGCTTCCCGGTGTGAGGGAGACGGATGGCGGGAGGAGGGCTTATCACAGCACGGAGGAGGGAGGAGGAACACAGGCCAGGTGTGTCACTCCAGAGTCCAGCCTGACATCTGCTGCTAATTTCACAGTCACTCCTACCACAGGAAGCACACCGAGCACTCACAGGAACCGACCGAGCTGTCCTAACAGGAGCTTGTGTAACCCGCCAGGCTAATGGCTTCCTTATTACCTCACAGCTAACAGACATGGGACACGTACTGGTAGACTTCATTCAACACTTCAACTCAGGAGCAATGTGCTTCTTTATCTGCTGCAAACTTCACCTCAAGAGCAATCTGCTCCTTTATCTGCTGCAAACTTCACCTCAAGAGCAATCTGCTTCTTTATCTGCTGCAAACTTCACCTCAGGAGCAATGTGCTCCTTGAGGCCTTGTTCACACCGAAAGCGTGTGCGTTCCAAAGCGGTAGCTGCTGGAACGCACTGCGATCTCTGAGAAACTTCCCCCCGCGTTTTGGTGCGAGAGGGGGCGTGGCGGTGCATTGAATTCAGTGGCACCGCTTCCACGCCCTGAGAGCGATCTGACGCGTGGCAAAACTTTGCCAGCGTTCCGTTCCACTGCAAACGCAAAAAATAGAGCAAGCCCTAGCGCTTTCGGTGTGAACAAGCCCTTATATGCTGCAAACTATTTTGCTGCCAGAGACGTTTTTGTGTGTGTGTTTTTTTTTTTCTTTGCACACCTATTTAAAATTTAAGTTTTAGGCCTGAGAATTACCTAAACCCCCCACAGAATGCTTTCCTGAAAGCCTAGACCCTGTAAAACGGGTGGTGAACCTACAAATCCCAAGAGGCATTGCAAGATTCTCAAAGACACAGGCATGACTTTCAGAGACAGATGCATCATGGTATTTGTAGTTTCACCACAGCTGGAGGGCCAGAGGTTCCCCACCCCTACTGTAAAATAAAACGGCAGTTGCAAATTTTTATTTTGCATGATGATGTATACAGCTGTGTATTAATCACCTCGCGCCGGAAGCTTCCTAGATCTGAGCGGGCAAATTTAAACGTCCCGCCAGATATGCCCACTCGCTTGTGGCGTGCATGAGCGGGAAACTGCCTAAATTTAAAAGCAGGCAGCGATGCCTGTTTACATACAAGCGATCCGCCGGCTATAGCGCTGGCGGATTGCTTGTATAAGGTGCTGGTCCGTGTGTCCCCCACAGCCCCCCCCCCCCCCCC